TAATTATCTCTGTTTACTGAAGTTATGATCAAAACATTAGTTGCTGCCAACACCAGCTCTGCATTTACATAAGATTTATTTTTCAAAAGGAACTTTCTGAGAATGAAGGGCTCAGACTATCTTACAGCTGTAAAATTAATTCTGCTCTAAAGCATAGCTTATTACTTGGGAAAGAAATCTTTATTTAGGAATACTTTGGCTGGCAGTAAATAAATTCTATCATGCCTATTTTTGTCCTAGTTTAAGAAAAGTCACCCAGATTTAATCCAGTCAGTGGCCACGTTCATACCTTGTCAGAAGCTTGAGGGCCACATTTATTTCATTTACTTTGCCTGAAATGAAGCAGGTTTTATTTGCCCTGTTTTTTAATACAGACAAGCAGATCGCGTAGACTACAAGTCCTGGCATACAGTACTCTCTCTTGTCAAGTGGGGCTGCTCCACCATGTGGTGTACTGGAATATGTTGTTTCCATAGGCTGAGTTTTTTATGTTAAAAATGAAGGCAGATGTGAAGCAGACTGCAGGACTCCAGACAGCTGGACTTGACCTGTGGGCAGTACTAGGACCATCCCAATATAGGCCTATGTATGGGTGTGACTGTGATTACAGTAGTATGAGAAAACATGTGATAATGCAGCCCACTTCTTAGTGTAGCACAAGTAGTTTATCTTTTCGAATTGACAGCTGTAGTTTAAGAATAACGGCTTTAAGATTTTGGCTGTGGCTTGACTTGGATGAGGCACTGAGAATTTTGGGAGGAAGACTAGCAATCCTGTTCCCTCAGATCGAGCTTTGCAGATCAATATGGGCTTTTACATAGTGTGTTGGTCCAAATCCAAGGGATTGATTCCCATTAGATAATACACAGTATGGATTAAGTGCACATTCGATCCTTTAAACTATCTCGTGCAGTTGCCTTATAGTTTAGTGCTGCTGCTGCCACCACATGTAATAGTAAAGGGGTCTCTCTGAATAGCATCACACGTATGTGAGACCCAACCACAGCTCAGCATAGGGGTGGGTATGGGCTAGGAAAGAAGGATATTTAGCAGATCCACTTAGCAAAGGGAAGGTCTTGACTCCTTCAGAATACCTGGGGCAGCAGAGGGGTGCGGGGTGGAGGGAGAGCCATTATCCTGGATGCTGATTGCTATAAAAATGCTGATTGGGTGCCAAGGGTACATTTGATGTGAAATGGCAGAGGAAGGGCTCTTTCCTGAAGTACTATTTCTTTTCCATTTGATGAGGGAGAGACACAATGGATCTGTAAAATTGCAATGTCCGTCTCGTCCAATTCCCAGCGTGGTGTGGCACCCCACTGAGACGTGAGGAAGTTTTCTGATTGTAAAAGGTCTTTTGTTAGGCTATGAAATGGCTGTTTAGTGAACAGAAGGGAGTTATAAATCTTCCCAAGAAACCTACTTTGCTTGTATTATTAAATAAAAAAGTCCCCTTTGATCATAAATCATTCAGTGTTCTTTCATTTTATTTCAACTAAGCTAATTGAAATAACTGCTCACAGTTCAGAAATGCCTCCCTTCCACAGATTCATCTTAGTCTAAACGAGCAGAGCTCTACTCCTCCTTACAGACTGGCAGCCACCTTCAGGATCGTAAAAGGTACTACTCCTTCTTCCATTAAGCATGATAGTTTTCTAAATGAAAGCAGGAGTGTCACTTCAAGGCCCAGTGAAACTTTTCCATAGCACTTACTGAGAAATGCAGATCCAGATGTCCAGAGCGGCTGTCCACCAGTACTATATAGTCAGCTGAAATGTTTAATGGGGTCAGTTCCTTTGTACTTGGGAAAGTCTTAGAAGACCAATGTGCTACCTAAATCCAGTTCAAGATAACTAAGCATGATCTGCCAGTTTGGTCCTCACCAAATGGTAAGCATGGGCACAACTGGGAGATGCCCAAAGATGACAACAGTCGCAGGCTGTGGCCAAAATTATTCCTGCTGCCAGGTCAGTTTGGGGTGAGGAAATATGTAGAACTGGAATTCCCGTGCAACCAGGGGGCATTTCCAAGAGAGAATCTGCACAGAGGAGCCGTTCGTAGAGATCCCAGGGCTATCGCTGCCTGCCCTTATTCTTCTTGTTAGCAGGAGTAGTTTTGAAAACCTTTCACTTTTCTCAAGAGAAAATAACCCCCAGCAGCTAGGAGCAGCAAGTCTGAATCAAGGCTTATCCTATATGGTTGCTTAACAAAATGTACATCTTTATTAATCAAATTACAAATGTAATTAATTCTTTTGAATTACTTTAATTGGAATGAAGACAGGCATGTGGGGAAAATACCTGGAACTAATGAGCCTGAATTTTTATTTATTTATTTATTTATTTATTTATTTTTAGCATCTGGAGTTGAAGTAATCTTTAGTTTCAGTGTAGAGAGCAAAAAATAATTTGAGTACAATTAATTCCTATCTCTCATGTTGTAGCTTTAATGTCTTTTAGCAGCAGCTAAAACAGGAAAAGACTGTGGTGCCATAAACTTTCTTTTGTGTTAGCTCTTCCTTACCTGGGCTTGGAAGTGTGGCACAGAGGCCCCATGGCAGAGCATTAGTATGTTCCTCCCTTGCTGCTGGGTCCTCATTACTCAATTACCATGTATCTCATAGGTATTCTCCATCATGTGGGCATCCTTTGTCTCTCCCCTTTTGCGGGTTACGGATTCTTTTGTTCTAGTTTCAAGAGAGCTCCATATCTTGTGCTGAGTCTGACTGAGGTCACAAAGTGTTGGCCACCATTGACAATGTGTTTGCTTTAGCTCTAGGGTAGTCTCACTGCACCTTGTTATATAGACGGTGACCACACCTTGCCTTGAATGAAGTTCTGCTTAACTGAAAGAAAAGGGATACATATCTACCTAGTGCAAACAACAGTAGAAGACTGCAGGCCCCTGCTTTTGTAGTTTGTCAGCATAGCCTTTAACTCTGTTTACAATGGCTGGGTAACTACTAGGACTGTCAAGCAATTAAAAAAAATTAATCACGATTAATTGCGCAATAAAAATTTGTTATCATGATTAATTGTGCGATTAATCACGCAGTTAAACAATAATAGAATACCATTTATATAAATATTTTTGGATGTTTTCCACATTTTCAAATATATTGATGTCAATTACAACACAGAATACAAAGTGTACAGTGCTCACTTTATATTTATTTTTTATTATAAATATTTGCACTGTAAAATAAGAGAAATAGTATTTTTCAATTCACTTAATACAAGTACAGTCGTGCAATCTCTAGCACAAAAGTTGAACTTACAAATGTAGAGTTATGTACAAAAAATAACGGCATTCAAAAATAAAACAGTGTAAAACTTTAGAACCTACAAGTCCACTCAGTCCTACTTCTTGTTCAGCCAAGCGGGCAGATAAACAAGGTTGGTTACATTTGTAGGAGATAATACTGCCCACTTCTTGTTTACGATGTCACCTGAAAGTGAGAACAGGCATTTGCATGGCACTGTTGTAACGGCATTGCAAGATATTTACGTGCCAGATGTGCTAAAGATTCATGTCCCTTCATGCTTCAGCCACCATTCCAGAGGACATGCGTCTATGCTGATGACAGATTCTGCTCAATAACGATCCAAAGCAGTGCAGACCAATGCATGCTCATTTGCATCATCTGAGTCAGATATCACAAGCAGAAGGTTGATTTTCTTTTTTGGTGGTTTGGATTCTGTAGTTTCCGCATCAGAGTGTTGCTCTTTTAAGACTTCTGAAAGCATGTCCCACACCTCGTCCCTCTCAGATTTTGGAATGCACTTCAGATTCTTAAATCTTGAGCCAAGTGCTGTAGCTATCTTTAGAAATCTCACATTAGTATTTTCTGTGCATTTTGTCAAATCTGCTGTGAAAGTGTTCTTAAAATGAACAACATGCTGGGTCATCATCCGAGACTGCTATAACATGAAATATATGGCAGAATGCAGCTAAAACACAGAGCAGGAGCCGTACAATTCTCCCCCAAGGAGTTCAGTCACAAATGTAATTAACACATTTTTTTTTAATGAGCGTCATCAGCATGGAAGGATGTCCTCTGGATTGGTGGCCAAAGGATGAAGGGGCATATGAATGTTTAGCAGAGCTGGCATGTAAATACCTTGCAATGCTGGCTACAAAAGTGCCATGCAAATGTCTGTTCTCACTTTCAGGTGACGTAAATAAGAAGCGTTACCTGGAATGCGTTACCTAGGGAGGTGGTAGAATCTCCTTCCTTAGAGGTTTTTAAGGTCAGGCTTGACAAAGCCCTGGCTGGGATGATTTAACTGGGAATTGGTCCTGCTTTGAGCAGGGGGTTGGACTAGATGACCTTCTGGGGTCCCTTCCAACCCTCATATTCTATGATTCTATGATAAGCGGGCAGCAGCATCTCCCGTAAATGTAAACAAACTTATTTCTCTTAGCAATTGGCTGAACAAGAAGTAGGACTGAGTGGACTTGTAGGCTCTAAAGTTTTACATTGTTTTGTTTTTGAGTGCAGTTATGTAACAAAAAAAAACTGCATTTGTAAGTTGCGCTTTCACGATAAAGAGATTGCACTAACATACTTGTATGAGGTGAATTGAAAAATACTATTTCTTTTATCAATTTTACAAGCAAATATTTGTAATAAAAATAATATAAAGTGAGCACTGTACACTTTGTATTGTGTTTGTAATTGAAATGAATATATTTGCAAATGTAGATGACTATCCAAAATATTTAATAAATTTCAATTAGTATTCTGTTGTTTAACAGAGCAATTAAAACTGCGATTAATCGCGATTAATTTTTTTAATTGTGATTAATTTTTTGAGTTAACCATTCGGACCCTTGCTGTAGCTCTGCAATATCATTTTCAATGCATAATGCCTAGGCTGGGGCTGAAAAGGGAAAACTACTAGAGCTCCTAGGAAGCAGAATGTAAAGCTCCATGCTGACAATATCAAGGGGAATGCTTGAGGGTGGGAAAGAGAGTGGACTCTGTTTTTTCCCCACAGCTCAACACTCTACGCCACTTCTAAACCTGCCCTTGAGTAAGTCGACTTCTGCAGCAATAATGAAATTCGTCACGAACTCCTCAGTGCCACCTGGAAGGAGTGGCGGGTCTATCAAGAGAAGCAATTTGACTGTCAGTATGTTTCCTCTTTGTTTGGAACTAGCCCATGTGGAGCATCCTACTTCAAAAACCAGCACCACTTGTGGCCTTTCCGTGAATTTGTTGGATGGCTGTGCGGCTATTCAGCCATGCAGATGCAATTTTAGTAAGAAATGTGGCTTGGAAGTGCAGGGCAAACCTTTGTATGAGACTTCCAAGGGACTGGGCTGTCTGGCATGGAAGCTGTCTCTCCTTGCCATCACATTGCCAGTTTGTTTCCTCATGCTGCCAGTTCCTGTGTTTTCTTTAACTTTGTTGATAACGGCATTCCTTTGTTTCCTTGTTGTCAAATCACCTCTGGGAGCTGGGAAGGGAAGCACCATGGGGAGTGGGGAAATGGCAAATGTTTTTGGGAGACATTTTCAAAGGTGAACATGTTAAATAGGCACCTAACTGCCATTTGTGCCTTTCAAAATCTCTCCCTTCACCTTTTTCACTGTTGCCTGTAGTTGCACGTGTTTTGATGTTAGATTTTTATGGAATGTCCACTCAGGTGAATGGAAGATCAGAGAATAGTGGAGCATCTTTTTTCATAGAAGCACCCAGCCCACTGATGTGTTTAAGAGAAGATTACATCTGAGTTAAGAGATCTCTCTGGTCCCATAAAAGGGAATAGTTTCAGTGGTCGAACTGATCAGTCCTTCAGCAAACTCTCTGTAGTTTCTCTTGAGAGTTCAATGGAATCCACCTCAGAGGGCTGATCATCACAGAATTATGTGGATTCTAATGTATCTGATAAGTCAGGTGAGCTAGGCAGTGAAGGGAACCAGTGCGTCATCTGAAAGATAACCTTTCTTAGGTTAGCAATAAGGTAATTAGATGTGCAGTGACTAGAACTGGTTGGAAATTTTCTGATGAAGCTTAGTTTCACTGGAAAATGCCAAGACAGTACAGCCAAATGAGTCACCAAATCTACTACCTATTTGACTACACTTTAATCAAAACATACAGGTTTCCTTGGCTCCAGAGGATGAAGATGCATAGCATAGGGGCACTCTGCCTCCCCCTCAAGCTTTGTGGGACAGGCAGTGCCTGTCTGGCTCCCCAAGCTGGAGGATTGGCGGGGAGACAGAGCAACTGGGCTTTCTGCCTCTTCAGCTGCAAGGCTGGAAAGATCTTGTCAATTTCACAAGTGAAACTAACAAGAGCCTTCCCCTAGGGCAACTGGGAAGCCAAAAAAATGGTTTCTGTTCTCCCAAAATGGAATTTGTTTTTAAATCTCTTCCACTAAAAGTTTCATGTTTTTGGCTCTTTGTCCTGCTGTGGGATTAAACTCTTTTCAAAAACGTGAAAATTTTCATGGAAAGGGATTCCCTTTTTTTGGCCAGCTCTAGTAGTGACCTCAGTGTCTCGGGATTGTGAAGATCACCATCTGGGTATCAAAGAGGGAAACAGGGATAATTCTTGTTATGGAGATTTGCTAGGATTTGATGTATTTACAGCAATGAACTCATTTAGCAGAACTCAAAATATTTTTATGCCGTGTATGCTTACAGTTCCTATTTTTAAAAGGAATAAGGATTTTGCCCAATTAACAGTCACAAAGGTAACTTTCCAGGAGCCTCTGGGTCTCCCATTATTCGCTTAAAATAGAAAAGGTTGCAGTGTCCTGATCTGTAATGAAGAGGAGGTCCTGGCATGTATAGTTCTGTCTTTATTGGATTTATCTGCCTGCATTGCATGCTGGACCTGTAGTCTCCATAAGTCACATCTTGACATTAAAGATTAAGACCACCAAGAGAGATTGATATGTGAGATTGTGAAGCATGGCCCAGTAAATAGGGCACAGGACTGGGAATCAGGAGGACTGAGTTCTCTTCCTAGATTTGCCATTGACTCCCAGTTTGACCTTGGGCAAACCACTTAACTCTTCTGTGCCTCAGTGTCCTCATTCTTAAATTTGACCTACTTGTGGAAAGAACTTGGAGATCTTCAGATGAAAAATGCTAAGTACTGTAACAGGCTCAGGCCAAATGGCTACAGGAGAGTGATCCTGTTGGGATCCAGGAAGTGGGTGGGCGGAAGCCCGCCCACTGCTAAAGGACCTCCCCCCAGCCTAAGGGGAGGATCCACAGGACCTGGAAGCCAAATGATTCTGTGGGACAACTAATGAGATAACAGGGACAGGAGTGAGGTCAAAGGGTCAAACGAAGGGAACCTGACAGGGACACCGAGCAGAGAACCCTGAGAGTGATAGAAGGTAGATATATTAGCCCCAGATTAAGCAGGTCCCTTTTCCCTGAGTAAGATAATGGGCTGTTCCAGAACAATCAGGAAGTTGCTGGAACCAATTAAGGCAGGCTAATTAGGACACTTGGAGCCAATTAAGAAGCTACTAGAATCAATTAGGACAGGCAGGCTAATCAGGGCACCTGGTTTTAAAAAGGACCTTATTTCAGTTAGTGAGGCATGTGCAAGGAGCTGGGAGCAAGAGGTGTGCAAGATGCTGAGAGTGAGAAGGCATACTGCTGGAGGACTGAGAAGTACAAGCATTATCAGACATCAGGAGGAAGATCCTGTGGTGAGCATAAAGAAGGTGTTGGGAGGAGATAATGGGGAAGTAGCCCAGGGAGTTGTAGTTGTCACGCAGCTATTACAGGAGACACTGTTGACAGGGCCCTGGGCTCGAACCCGGATTCCCCCCATCCCTCCAACTCCCTATTTGATACCAGAGGAGTTGACCTGGACTGTGGGTCCCACCAGAGGGGAAGGTCCCTAGCCTGTCCCCCGACTTTGAGGCGAGCAAATCCACCAATAAGCGCAGGACCCACCAAGGCAGAGGAGGAACTTTGTCACAGTACTAAATATGTCACCATGGGCTGCGGTCAGATTAGAGCTGGTTTTTTTGGAAAGGTGACTTCTGAATGTGTGTAAATATCTGCATTAGCAGAAACTAAAAACAACTCCTCAAGAGATCTCGTGGTTCTTCGTGATGATTGTGTTTGTCTTTCTTTTAAATAACAGAGGGCTTTTAGAAGTGCTCTGTCCTGCGTGTGATCTGGTCTCTCTGTCCATTTAAACCTCCCTTGCCCTTGGTGTCTGTGTTCCTGATAGCTGCTGATTGGATCAAAGCTTCACCGAGCTTCGCTTCCACCCCTTCAAATTTTCATTAAATGCAGTTTATCTCTCTGCCATTACATAGCCTGTTGTTTCACTTTACAATTTTAAATTATTGCTGTCTGGGCTTTCCATTTTTTCAAACAATTTTTCAGAGTGTGTGTTTGTGTGTGTGTGTGTGTGTGTGTAAAATAAATGAGCAAGGACAGTGCACAGTTATTTACACAGCAGCTCCTGCAGCTCTAATGTAATATTATCATTTAAATGCTTGCTGAGTATTCAGACATTCAAGGTCTGTATGGCATGCTCTGCAGTGCTGGAGCCCTAGGGTAATGTTTTTCATAGCTGTTTATTCCTAAATACTCCTGACAGAAATACAAATGCCACCAAAGCGCCCAATATGGTTTCATATATTGGAAAAGGGGGGAACAGAGGGCCTTGTATTGTTTCAGAGATGGCACTGAGCATTAAAAATATGTCTGAAAAAGAGACTGAGAAACGATAGGGGCTGATTAAGAGAGAAACAGAATGATAAAACCACGTAGAAAATTGATCTGCAAAGCTTGCAAGTTTATTTGTGAAATTCTCCTCCCGCAAAAGCTAAGACACTAAATGAGAATGTACTGCCAATATTGTGGTTAACCCTTACCAGCCCTGGGCAGATTTTTTATTATGTGTCCTTTCCTTGGAGGACCTTCACACGCATTTCTCCTTTAGTGGATTTCCTTGGCAAAGTAAGGGGAGAGGCCACCTCAACAGTGCCATTTAGAGATCCATCCAAAATGAAACATTGGGAGTTGATACAGAAGAAAGCACAGCACCTGCAGATTTAAAGGCACTTTGTTGTAATGGGCCTGGATAATGCATGTTGGTCTTTCATGTTCATTGTGTGGCCAGGGATCAGAGTCTATGTGTTGGATTAGTTTCATTTTCACCAGGTGGTAGGAATAGCAACAGGAATTTGGGGATTTCAAATGTTCATTGAGCCAAAAAGGAAACAAGTTCAGTTTATGGGATGTTAAATCCCGTGGCAGAGGCCTGACTTTTTGCTTTCCTGAAGATAACGAAGATTTCAAAAGCTTTTTGGGTATCAGGATCCATTTTTTCCCTCTTGATAATCTACCCTTCTTTCAGACCGTGTTCAGCCAAAAAGCTATCAACCACTACAATGGTGTGATCACATATAATAGTCACACCTACCTCTTATGTAACAGATGCTTGTGTTGTCATTTTTAATTTCAAGATTGCTGGGGATGTGTCTATAGTGATATAGGCCCCAATTCAGCAGAGTACTTAAGCACTTGTTTAAGTTCTATTACGTTCATTGAGAATTGAGCATGCTCTGCAGTTGGGACCACAATCTCTGTGTGCATCAAAACTATGGTTGCCAACTCTGACTGAAGCTATTCCAGGAGATGTTTTTTTTCCAGCATGACATAATGTCATTTTCTTAAAATATCCTATTAAAATCTCCCAGATTGCTTTGAGTAGTGACCGGGAGATCGATGCCGATTCCAGGCCAATACTGGAGGGCTGGCAACCCTAATCAAAGAGAACACCTTTGTGTATGCTTGCACATATGCATGCACACGCATACAAACACACACACACGCATGCACGCATACACACACGCGTGCGCATGCAAAAGGGGCGGGATTCAGGTACAATATTGAATTGATCCTAAATTCTTGAGACCCATCTGGAGTCTGTTTGCAGGGTAGTGTCTCCTGAGAGATGGGACATAAAGCTGTTCAGCCCCTGCCCACCGTCTTATTACCTGAAAGACTTACTCTCTCTCCTAAGAACGGTTCCTGTAACAGATGTTTGTTTCACCAGATTCCATTGTTTTAATGAAATTTCCACGGGCCTGATAAAATCAGAGTCCCCCCTTCCATCCCTTCTTCAGCTCTGAGCCTTTAAAGGTCTTCTCCAGCCTATTTTACTTTCCCTTCTGAGAATACTAGAAAGAAGTTCAGCCTTTTGCCATGTCCTTCTGGCTCACATAGATGAGCTCCACTGCAAACTCTGCACAGGGTTGACTTGGTGGAAGCATTTCCTAGCCCAGCTCTGTACCTGATTTTCCCCATCACCATATATAACATGTTTGGCTTGTGGGAATTTTTTAATCTGGTTCCGCTTTCGACTCGCCCTACTGTTCTCAGGCTTTCAACTTGAATTTCCACTACCTGCCGTTTTGTTTATACCAAACCAAAGGCAAATTGCTGATGTTATTCACAACAGACTGTGCTGCCAGAGGTGTGCAGATTAAATCTAGGGTGTTAAATTCAGATTCCACGTACCATGCTTCTCTTCCCTCTCCCCCCATTGCACTGGTGACAGGGAACTGTTACCATAGCAATAACATTTTAAAGTTTTTTCCAGAAGTGCTACAGGAATCATTTTCTTTCTCCTCCCCCTCGACAATTCAGGAAAATGGAGCTTATTACAGATAAAATTCTTTTCCTCCGTGACTTGATAGGAGACTAGCAGGGGCACTCTGCAATCCCAGGAAAAACTGTCTGCAGCTCAGAACTGCTCCTCTGAAATGAGAAGTCCGGCTGGGCTGCCCACTGTTGCAATTTGTTGACCTGAAATGGTTTGTGTGTCCTTCGCTGTAGACTTAGATGGTAGAGTTTGCACTACCTACAAATTGTAAATGGGAAAAGAGAGCAGAACAAGTCATAAAAAGAAACAAAAATACAGAAAATGTATAAAACCCTTGAGATAACCTTAAACCTCAAAAAGAATAAGAGTAATAATACTTATAAGTTGCCTTTATTTTACCTCTCCCTGCAAGCCACGTGGGCTACTGCACCATAGCAGTTCAAACTGCAACACAGTAATATATAGGGAAACACAAAAATCCCAGTAAAGAGAGAGCACTCAACAGCCCTCTGAAAACTGAAAGTCTGCCAGAAAGAAAGTGGGAGGATGTTTACATTAAAAAAAAAAAAAAAATCACGGGGCAAATATCAAGTGGTGGTTTGAAAGTGGGGATGTATGGGCTGGGATGGATGTGATGGGGCAGCAAATCCCTATGACCCACTATAACATGGGCACAATGGCCTGCCAATTTCAGATATGATGGTGGGGGATGCCTAAAAAGCAAGACACCTACTCATGCAAGATTCAAGGATCAGCCCCAGATATAGCTAGAGCCTGCACCATTACTGGTTTTAACAACCTCTAGGACAGGAAATGATTTCCATTTCTAAACTGATGGTCAGACTAGTGCAAAGAAAGTATCTTCCCAACAATCTGGAACCATTCTAAGTTTTAAAGCTCCAAGGCCCCCTGAGCTGGAGTATGCAGGTGTAATTCACAGGTATGAATTGGGCAAACCTTATTTTAAATCAAGATGGTTCCTGACAGTCTGCCCTATAGGTACCTGGGAAATAGAGGTGACTTTTCCCACCCAGTCATCCAGTGGGCCAAGAACATGGACAACTTTACGTCTGGATGTTTGCAGATAGAGTTGGGATAGTGGAACATAAGCTTCCTTCCTTGTCTTTCCCCCTCCCCACTCCAGGTTTCTGCCTACATGTGACTCTAGGAGCCTTTCAGTGCTCACTGACAAAGAGTTTACTGCCATGTAACAGCAACTGCTATCAAGCCTGACAAACTCACTACACCTAACACATTGCTCTCATGATATTTATCTATAAAGAACGTCATGTAAGATTTCAAATGAAAGCCTGTGAAACACTGGCCATTGATATCACAGCATAATGAATATATTAACATGGTATGAGGAATTATGGATACTTACTGATACTATACTTCTGTTACCAGACATGGTCTGTGTGTATATGGATCTCCTCACTGTGTTTTCCACTTTGTGCATCCGATGGGGTGAGCTGTGGCTCACGAAAGCTTGTGCTCGGGTGGATTGGTTGGTCTTTGGGGTGCCTTTTCTTTATACAAAGTAAAACTATTTCCCCTTGTTTATTCCTCCTCCCCCCACCCACCCCTTCCTCAGACGTTCTTGTTAACTCCTGGAAATGTGCTGGAAATGGCCCACCTTGATTATCACTTCAAAAGGTTTTCTCTCCCCGCACCCCACTCTCCTGCTGGTAATAGCTCATCTTAAGTGATCACTCTCCTTACAATGTGTATTTTTTCATGATCTGTGTGTATATAAATCTCCTCATGGTATTTTCCACTTTATGTATCCGATGAAGTGAGCTGTAGCTCACAAAAGCTTATGCTCAAATAAATTGGTTAGTCTCTAAGGTGCCACAAGTACTCCTTTTCTTTCTTCAGACAAAGAGAGGAACAGGTTTTCTTCTAGGTAAGAGGGAGGATAGTTAACTCCCCTCTATTGGAAGTTGAGTATGGTGATGCCAGAGACAATGGACAGTTCGTTTGCAGTGGAGGTAAACAGGAGGAGCAAATTAACATGAGGATGTGAAGTCAGCATGGAAAGACGCTGGAGTCTGAACCCCAGGGGTCCATCCTGACTCTGGTGACAAAAAATAATAAACTCTGGTGAATATAAGGAGAAGCAAAAAGACACTTTGGTTATCTATCGCTGAGGGAACAAAGAGGTCAGCGCTCTTTGCATTATGAATGGTGGATCCCCAACCGTGTGGGTTGGTGACACTGAGAAGTGCATTAGACAAAGGTTGTAACCTGATATGTTAAATTTTAGCCACCAGAAAGCACAATTATACTTTTATTTTATTTGTCACCACTTTGTTTCTATTGTCTCTGCTTAGTATCACTTAAATCTCTCTTCTTTATTAATTTATTCTTGTTTTTTTATAATTGTTGTACAGAAGTGAGGTGTGCACCCTCAGATGAGCCAACAGGCTGGTGTGTATCTGGTCTCTTTGGAGACAGCAGACTTGATATTGCTGTGGGCCTCCAAAACTGGGGTCGGATGCAGCTGGGAGACACTTTTGGAGAGTTCGGGAACTGAAGTACACCAAAGGTTAACCTGCAAGACGAAGTTAGGACTGGCAGAGTTCTAAGGAGTTTGTTTAGCTGGAGATAGCAGGGAGCAGCCACACAGTGTAAGACCAAGAAATCTCTCTTTTGCTAAGGCAGAGGGGTA